TTGCTGGCGTGCACAGAGCGGTGCCAGACACTTATTAATGTTGGCCAGTGAGGTCATACATCATTTAATGCTGCTTTTAAAATTAAAGATGTTTGATGTCGAGGCGTCTCTCGGTCTCGTCTGAAGAAGAAACATTTATCCCCGGCTGAATTCAGAGAGAAAAAGTGAACTGTTCGAATTACTTCAGATGAAAACCTCACAGCCTTACAGGTGAGTCATTTTAACAACACTGCCTGCCTGAATGTGTTTCTGTCGTCATTTCTAAATAGCTATGTTCACCAGCTGCCCACAGAAAGAAGACAGGGAGAAAAGAATGAATGAAAGAAACGGAGGGTGGGGTGGTGGTGGTGGGGCTGGAAATTGGGACGTGAAGGAGAGGAGGGAGAATAAATCACCCAGTGAAGAGGACGACGCCTCCTGATTGGAAAAACAGCAGGGGGATTCTCTCTCTCTCTCCCTTCTCTTATCTTTGTGTTTCTCTCGTCGCTTTTCTTTTTTTCCCCCTCCCTCTGTCATTTCTCCATGCTCTGCAGAGATTTAGTGGAGGAGAGCGCGCTGCACACATGCATGCACATTGTTATCTTTTGAATTACACACACATACGTGCATGCAGCCTGAACAGCAGCCGCGATCAGATAGAGACGAGGCAATTAACATGTGAAACATTGTGCTCCAAAACATACCAAATTGATACAGGCAGCACTTTGTTCTCTGTCCATTTAAGACCTAAAAATAAGAAACTTAAAACCAGAGTGGGAAAAGCAATCTCCACTCTTGGCACGGCACCAAGCTGCACTAATGACAACACTTGGCAACTAGAACTACCCAGTGCTACCACAACGTGACTGCCGGCCACTGGGAGCTCCCCAGTAGAAGCAGATTCACAATACAACAATAAACCGTTTTAATAATTAGTGTTCCAGTGCATTTCCTTTGGTCTGTTGTAATTTACTAAAGCCTTTAATCCACAGACAATCAGCAACATGTCTTGTTGAAGAATGAGTATCATCATCATAATAATACACTGACAGATCAGGCCCGTGACCTTACTGACCAGGGCAAGTTCTCCCTTCAAGATCTGACTCGCTGGGCTGAAGAGAGACTGACTGACAGCCTGAAGCTTGATTCATTCTTGTGCATCATTAGTTAACAACAAAGCCCACACATGTAGCTACACCATAGCTAACTTGCATCTCCTCAAAAATGCAAGTTAAGGGAGCCATAAGGTTTATGATGACTACAAATACACCATGTGGAGTCCACAGGGTCAGCTCAGGCCGCTTGTGTTTTCTTCCACAACTTTCTGATACAGCTAGAGATTGCTGATAATGAATCCAGCAGGAGCAGGTTGCAGAAAGCCTCAGTGTTTGCCTATTCAGTAACACACATCTATCATTTCTACTGCACCTTTTGCATCTTGCAATTGAGTTTCTTGATCCCAGTGAATGGAAAAACAAACAACATTAAAGGATGCTTTGCAGGAGGAAAACAAGCCAAACCTTTATATTATTGCTCTACATTAAAGTGGAAATAGACAAGTTTAGCTTTAACTTATCATTATGAGGTAAAGGTTGATTGCACAATGTAATGACACCATCAGCTTTAAGATGGGGTCCCTTTAACACCTCTTTATAACGGGGCATGATACTAATGAGCAACCATTAGATTGGTTTAGTTTTTCCCAATGAAGATGTCCTAACCTGCTCCATGCATCAGTGAACAGGCTAATTCCTGTGTCTTCAACAGGGGGTCCGGGACCCCTAAGAGAGGGGTCCTCAGAGTTACTGCAGGGAGGCCACCAAATTACTGCTTGATAATTTAAATTTAATTTAAGTTAAAATGCGTCTGCAAATACACATAAACATGAATCTAACATATCATCAGTGAAGATAAATTGGCTTATCCATAAAACCCATTTAATTTGCAGTACACAACCAGGGTTTTCCCTGGGTTTTTTCGAGACCAAGGTGGCAAAGGCCATCTTGACAGCTGTACTTTTAGATACGC